CTATTCTCGTAATGTTGCAAATTAACAGTCTCTAGTTTAATTTTTTTATAAAAATAGTTTATGGATATGGCTTAAAAATCTATTTTTAAAGAAATGAATACTCACACGTGTCTGTTTGTTTAAGGCTTCTGAAGCTGTTGGAAGTACCGGCGCTAATGGCGACAGGAAAAGTGTTTCTGTTGAAGAAAGGAGCAGCGCGGCGTCCACCAGCAGAAGACCAAAACGGAAAAGACGAAGTTTCTGCGATTCGGCCACACAGTGTACGAAAACAGAGACCTGTGACACGGGGGTGCAGTGTGACCTTCTGTCCCCTTATGATGGAAGGTCTACGAAGTCAGAAAGGGGTCAAAATGTTTGGGAACTTGAAACTGAAAACATAAAAGTTGAAACTGTACAAATAAAAGTTGAACCAGAATAAATATAAGTAAATATTGAATATAAAACGTTTCCCTTATAATCTGAGAAGCTGAAAAAGCAAAATTCAAAAAATAAGAAAATAATTTAAGTTCGTCCCCTCAGCTTGAAAAAACTCATTCAGTTAAGTATTTTAATTACACTTTTTCTTTTTATTTCTTTATTGCGGTTTTAGATTTTATGTTTTCAGATGAAAATCCTTTTCTTTCAGTTTTTTTTAAAGTTTTAAATTCCTTTTTGAGTTCAATGTTTTTTTTTTTTTTACACTTTCAAATCCGTTTTTTTCACCTTCAGATTTTGACCCTAATCTGACAGAAGTGGGCGGGGAAACATGATTGACAGCTTGCAGCAGCGCTGGAGGGATATTGCTGTAAAATAAATAAAAATTTGACATTTAGTATTCTTGTTTTCAGTTTTGACTAAGATTTATATGTTTACAAACATTTTGACCTATTTTTGACTCCATATTGAGTCAGTAAAAGGTCAAAATGTTTAAACTTACAAAAGGCCAGTCTGGACACAAACAGTTAACATGTAATCTAAGTTTACCACTGTTACAGCCTCTCACATTATGTTGATTTTTTATTATTATTACATCATATACCTTCATGTTTGTAATAACCAAAATATATGGAAATCCCTTTCAACCAAATTTTAGTGTAAAATCAGCTGGAAATAAAATGTTGTTTAAAATCTAATCTTGCAGTTTTCTTTATCACATAGAAGTCATGAGTTTTTTTATTTTTATGTTTTTGAATCTTTATTTTGTAAACTTTACTTCTACAAAGCTCTTCAGGCTCTTGGGTACTACAGAGTTTCATCATCTATTTCCACACTTATTTATTTGTGCTCGTAAGTTAGCCTCTTACAAGCTACAACTGTTTCACTTTACTGAATTTTTATTTAGCTTTTTAAGTTTTTTGCTTACCGTAGCTTTTATACTGTTATTAAATTTGTTAACTAATTTCCATCTTAATATACAATAGGTATTAAATTGTTCAAGGGGCTAGGGTCATTTAATTGGTCAAAATCCAAATAAGATGTAGAGCCATGTAGCATCATCTTTGCTGAATGGCTGGATATAGATCTTGTGCTTCTAGACCTCACTGAGGGATGGGGGAATTTTACTTTAATCTCAGAATTTTAGATCTTAATATGGATGGCCACTCAGCTTCACTGACAAAGATGTGAGTTTTTTTGGGAGAAACAGGAACACATTGGTGGAAAATGATGGAATTAGGCGACTTTTTCC